TTTAGTGTATTGTAATATTGTCATTATGTCTCCGTGTCTGGATTTCTGGGCCATGCTCGATTGGTACGTGGCCCAGATTTAAATAGGCACTGGGGTTAAACCATTGGAGTAGATATCTTATGCGTGGCGGAGCAGTGTTTTCTTAGCGAGTGTGTGGACGCCAAGCTGCGCAAAACGCGGATTTATTGGTTTGGCGTGTATACAACTTGCTTTGAGGACATAGTATTATTTAAGATACATATCTGCCTTTATGAAAGGAACGTGCGTTCATATTTCTGATGCGTCTGATCAGCGCGCTGGCGATAGTATGGCATTGTTTGCTCCAGTGGTAATAGGAGATTGTGTTTATGGGTCTGGAAAGATGGCGGCTAGGAAAACATGCGGCTGTGCACACGGGTTTAATTCTGTGCACACGGGTCTATGGGCTATGCACAACGCTTCTACTATGATACAGACATACACTCCCTTTTCTTTTGTGTACATGTGCTTTGTTGGCTGGCTATGATATGTTGATGTATTAAGGAAGTGATGTTGGTGTTTGACATCACTTCTTGGTTTCCTGTTTGAGACATCACTTCCTGTTTGTGACATCACTTCCTGTCGGCAGCTATAAAAATAAACAAATACCTGTGCTGAGCGCTCTAAGAACCGAACCACAGAACGAGCAGCATGAAAACATCACCGTGTCCTGACTCTACATGCCTCTACAGGGGTAACTCCAGTCCTTGCACAAATGAGCTTAATACAACTGTGCTTTTAAGCACGGGGGAAATTCTTTGTGTTTGGCGGCATACTTTGGTGCACTTTAGTGCCGCATGGATTTGTGCGTTTAACCAAGCGAATTTCCATAACAGTTTGTTGTTCATCATTACTGATACAGCAGAGATAAACAGGTGCAAGGAGGAACCGCATAACCAGCACCCCATAAGAAGTAATGCTGACATGAAGTAATGCTGACATGCATATAATAATGTATGCTTGAAGTGACACTAAACTCAGCAGTTAAACATTAAAAATGCATTAAATTCCCTTACTATTAGCAAACATGTAGCTTATTTGGGAAACACTCAGCTGTAGATCCTCAAATCATTTCTGAATTGGTGCTGACACTGTCCTTCCTTCTGGAGGGTGGCTACTTTTGTTCCCCATGGTCCCTGTGTGTGTTGTAAAGTAGCCACAACTCCAACATCGCTCCCATGATGGACTACAATATCAATACAAATTAGTAAAATAAGCGTGAGATTGTAGTCCATCAAGTGAGCAAGCTTGGAGGGGTGGCTACTTTACAACACACAGGGACCATGGGGAACAGAAGTAACCACCTTCCAGAAGGAAGGAAAGTGTCAGCCCCAATTCAGAGCTGATTTAAGGATCTACAGTCGAGTGATCGTGATGGGCTGAACACACCTGAGTTCGGTTCTAACTTGAACTTTCGAACATGGAGAAAGTTAGAACTGTGAACTCAATGAAAGTCAACAGAACTCGGAAAATCAAATGTCCCGCTTTGAAAGGCTTATATGCAAGTTATTGGCCATAAAAAGGGTATGGGGATTCAGGTACTGGCCTGGGGGACATGTATCAATGCAAAAATCACTTTTAAAAAATACAGTTTTTAAAGGAGAAGTGATTTTAACATTGCTTAAAGTGAAACAATAAAAATGAAAAATTTATTTTAATGGGCCCTGCTGTAAAAAAATCTATTTATATGCACCTGCCACACACCTGTCTCCTTGTTGGCCATTCATACATGATGTGGGGCTTATTATAAAAAAAAATTGTGAATGTGGGATGGGAAATTGGTGCTTGGGTGCAATACTTTATAGCATGTGGTGCTTGGTGCACTATAAACTGTTGTGCAATGGCTTATTATGAAAGAAAAAAAATGGGAGCACCTGCGACACAGAAGGGGGAACAACAATGAGGCAGGAAAAGAACCTGCTGCTGAAAAAAAAATTAAAAAGAAAACAAAATGGGGACACTGGTGATGCAGAAGGAGGAACAACAGTGACTCCACTGGCACAAACAAACAAAAAAGAGTACTGTATATAGCACTAACAGGTTGTAAAAAGCACTATCCTACAAGGCCGAACACACAAACTACCGATGTTTGAGTCGAACCGTTGTTCGACTCGAACATCGAGCCCATCCCTACCGAGTGATGCACAGATAAGCTACATTTTTGTTGCTAGTTGAGGTACTTGAATGTATTTTTAATATGTAACTCCTGAGTTTAGTGTCACTTTAATTTAATCAATAGTACACAATATTATTTTAAATACCAGGAAACATAATTTTGTTTATAATCTTGCAAATCATTCCTTTTGAGAGGATCATTGATTGATGTTAATCACTTGTGCATTAAAATGGCCAGTCCACTGGCACATTGTTCTGGGAGGACATACCTGTATGTCTTCCCCTGAATGCATATGTGTGCATGCCTGCAACCACTGCAGCTGCTGCTCCCACTGCCATTAGATAGCAGAGAACAATGGCTTTTAGACACAGAGCTGATTGGACCAGCTCTGTGCTCTGTATTGGATATCACAGTGATCACATGGCACTGTTTACATTGCCATGTCCTCCTCTTTCTCTTACATCAGATTTAGGGGCGAGTAAAGTAAGTAATGGATGGAAGAGTCATCCATTCAATACTTACTTGAGTAAAAACAAGCTGCAGTTGCAAAAAAAAAAAAAGTTAAAGGAGAACTATGGGGTCAGTGCTTTTCCAAACTAGCGTCCTCCAGTCACCCAAAGCTACAGCTCGCGGTATACTGAGACACCGCAGCGGAACGGATCCCGACAATGCTGTTTGGATCCACCCAGCTGAGTTAGTGACAGCTGGCTCTGCCTATCTAGAGGCAGAGCCAGCTGTGCCCTCCTCCGTCCATTCTGTCATGGCTCTCTGCACGGATAGATGGAGAAGTGAGTGAGCGACGGTATGTGTTCGCTCACTTTCCGATCTACCAAGCCGACCTGTGACAGTTTAATTGTCACAAGTCGGCTCAGATTATCAGGCTGAGTGAAAATCACTCACCTCATAATTCTCCTTTAAATAAAATATCTAACCCTTTCACCCCCTCCTCTCCTATATATATATTAGCACCATTCTATCTCTAGTCTAATGTGTGTATTAGCCTCTTCATCTCCCTTATCCTGTACATCTGTACATTAACCCCTTAATCTCCATCCTCCCACTGGATGTGGCCTGTATATTAACCCCTTCACCCCCTCCTCCCTCTATCTATGACTTGTACATTTATTGTATCTTGTGCATTATTACCAAGCCCCATTTTTTAACTCCCTCAATAGCGACCCGTTTCTATATTTCCAAAAAATAACTTCACCTTGGAGTGCTTAGTTTCCAAAAAGGGTTATTTTCGGCGATTTGTGCTGTTCTGAGATTTTTATTTGGTATGATTTATAAACAAAGTAAGAGAAACAAGATCTTTTTTAATTTTTTACTTAATATAGTACAATTTTTTTAAAAAGTGGTTAATAAATACCACTAAAAGAAAGCTCTATAACTCTTATAAGTGTGACCCTCACCTAGGTGCCGTAGGAGGAATCCAGGGTAATACAGCATTTAGTCTTTGGGTTAGGCAAAGTAAATAAGCAGACCTTGCATTTTTAGTGCAATGTTGTGCTCATTATTGTTTGTATTATTTGTAAAAGCAGTTGAATGTGTTTTAGAAGTATGGTTACCCTTTAATGCATACTATCTGAACATTCTTGCTTTGAAACATTACTTTCTCCGTCTGGTTTTTATTGCTGTAACTATTCTTTTATTACAAATCTTAATTTGTCAGTCTTCAATGCAATACACAGGGATGCAGATGTTCCCAGTGTTAAGATATTTGAGATTCTGAGAACTATTACATTATTCCCTTCAGATATAGTTGTTAATTAAAAGTAATGGAATCCTTGCTTGGAAACAGATGTAAATGTTACTGCATCTAACGATGCTACAGCTACCAGGGCAACAGGCTGACATGTTATATCTGCAGACAACACTCATATTTATACAGTCATTCCCCCCTCCTCTTTCAGATTGTAAGCCCTCAGGGGCAGGGCCCTCCTTACCATCCTGTCTTGAATTGTATTGTAATTGTAATGTCTTCCTTACATTGTAAAGCGCTGCGCAAACTGTTGGCGCTATATAAATACTATGTAATAATAATAATAATAATATTTTCTGTCTACTATGGTTGCCCAACTGAAATTAAAGATGTAATTTATCATATTGCGAGGTGTCTAATGTATTATCTTTATATTGTAATGAAATAGCTATTATTGGAGGTATAACATTTTAAATAAAAAAAATGTGCATTGATTATAAAGTATTTTTTAACCTCACTAAAGGTTTTGCCTTCTGCTATCTACCAGTATGTTAAAAATGTTCACCCCAATCCATACCCTCTGATGTGCTAATGACCGATAGTGTTCATCTTCCGTTATATGTTGCTTTGCATATAAATGCATTTTCTGTTTCTGATCTGCACAGAATAGCCTTGATTGGCTAAATATGATTACCCTTTTGTTATGGAACTAGAAAATATCTGGTACAACCAGTTACTTTCAGAAAGTCACAACTGTTTGAATGGAGTCTGTGTGTAAGTACAGTTTCACATGATCTCAAGATATATGCAGCTGTATCTGTAAGGCCTTGAAGATTTAATAAAAATCAAAGATAGATTTACCAAGTATTGGTGAGGTGATTACTTGTGCAACCTCCACATATAGTATCTGCTTTTTTGTCTGATTAATTGTTAGTGTCCTATGAATAAAGTAGCAATATTAACCTTCACTGAGACAGCTTAAAATACCAAAAAAAGCAAAAAAATAAAAAAAGTGCCCCATTATAAAGCACAGCATTGTGCTTAGCGTTCTGTTTGCTTGAGGACTACTATAGCCATATTTTTTTTCCATAGTGACACTTAACTGAATATTATCTTGTTCTCCATGTTTGATGCTGTTATTTCTATTATTTTATCATTTGTTACATTGCTTTCATCCTTGTGTGTTTATTTTGAAACATGAACATTTTAGTGGACATGTCATCAAAACCACCCTTTACATGAATATGGTGAACCCATATTTTACATGTCAAATATTAAATATTAAAACTTTCTTGCCTTAAAGTGACACTAAACTCAGGAGTTAAATCTTAAAAATGCATTCAGGTACCTTTCCCTTATTCAAGCACACAAACCACTCGATATATACTTTATGTAGTCACCCATAGCTTTCCTGTAAATAAATAACTAAGAAACAGCATGGCACAGCAGATGACTTCAGGAGGACAAAGGTGCTACAGGGAATCTGGTAGGTAGGAAAATGTCATCTTGTTTATTATTCATCTTTACAGATACGGCAGAGATAAACAAGGACAAGGTGGAACCACATACCAGCACCCTGGATGCTTAAAGTGACACTAAACACAGGAGTTAAACCTTAAAAATGCATTTAATTTCCTTACTGTTAACAAAAATGCAGCTTATTTGTGTATCACTTGGCTGTAGATCCTCAAATCATCTCTGAATTGGTGCTGACACTGTCCTTCCTTCTGGAGGGTGGCTACTTTTGTTCGCCATGGCCCCTATGTGTTGTAAAGTAGCCACTGTTCCAAGCTTGCTCCAGTTATGAAATTTAATCTCACGTTTAGTTAGCTCATTTGTAGTGAGATTGTAGTCCATGACCGGAGCGTGCTTTGAGTGGTGGCTTCTTTACAACACACACAGGAACCATGGTGAGCAAAAATAACATTTTGCAAGAATAATGAATGCATTTTTAGGGTTTAAGGCTTGCCATACACTGCTCTAATTTTCTTGTTCAACACGCAGGCTGAACGAAAAAAATAGAGCCGTTTCCTATAGCAACACTATCAGTGTGTCGATAGAGGAATCCCACTGTTTGCATTGTATTCTGACAGTGGCCGCCAGCTGCTGTCAGAATACCCGCACACTGCCGGCGGTTCATTGGCTGCTGGCTCTGATCTACGAAGATTTTCCGCCCAGCTCCTTCCATCAGCTGATCTAGCGATGCCAATCAAAAGGGTGCCAACAGCGGAACACACTATGCAAATTTCAGGTGGTTGCTCAAAAACGGCCCGAGATTCGAAGAGTGTATGGGCACCCTAACTCCTGAGTTTAGTTCACTTTAATGTTTGTAATCCATAAGGTATTTCAGGTTACTGTTTGTTTGACATCTATAGAGAAAGCAGATATTGTGTTATTTTTAATCAGACAGACCTGATCAATGAGATAACTGCATCAGCAGGCAGCAAACCCTACTTGTGTATTGAACAAGTCTGGTTGCACCTATGTAGATATACAATTGCAAACTTTGCATAAAAACAAGGGTTTTGAATCATTAGCACACTCTGATAAGATTATTTATACCTAGCTAATCTTTTTTCACATGTAGATAAAAAATACATTTGATAAAAGAATATAGTCAGCTTTAACCTGTTGCCGTCCGCCCCTTGTACTGGAACGGTCGGACGGATGTCGGCTATCTGCGGGTTGCCGTTAAGAGACGGCTTTTTTTTCTTGTGCTCGTGCGCGCCCCCTGGCGCGATCACGAGCGAACAACATTAAACACACTGTCTATTGGACAGTGTAGTTTAAACAACATTGTTGCAGGGCAAAGTAAATTGGCTCTGTTCAGTGTGATCGCTGTGACCAATCACAGCAGATCACTAACTGTAAACAATGTTGCTGTTTCTAGCGATTTCTCCTCTTCTCTCACACACTGTTCAGCTGTGAGAGAAGAGGAGACTTTTCTGACAGTGAAATAATACTGTTTTAAACAGCACATCTTCCAGAACACATTTTACTACAGTGCCAGCCTACTGATTGCCAGCAGCGCCAGCCCTGCCAGCGTCCTGATTGCGGTCAGTACCCTTCTGTCAGTCCTGATTGAGGTCAGTGCCCATCTGTCAATCTGTCAAAGTCCTGATCACAGTCAGCGCCCGCCCTGTCAGTCCGTCAAAGTCCTACTTGTGGTCAGTGAACATCTGTCAATCCATCAGTCCTGATTGCGGTCAGTGCCCATCTGTCAAAGTCCTGATCGCGGTCAGTGCCCATCTGTCAGAGTCCTGATTGCGGTCAGCACCCGCCCTGTCAGTCCATCAAAGTCCTAATTGTGGTCAGTGAACATCTGTCAATCTGTCAGTCCTGATTGCGGTCAGTGCCCATCTGTCAGAGTCCTGATTGCCGTCAGCGCCCGCCCTGTCAGTCCGTCAAAGTCCTAATTGTGGTCAGTGCCTGTCTGTCAGTGCATTAGAGTCCTGATTGTCAGCAGTGCCAGCCCCAATCAGAGTTGTGCCAGCCCAAATCTATCTGTGATTGCTATAGTGCCATCCGTCAGTTAGCATCTTGATTTGCCAATATAAGTACCACACAGTACCAGTGCCAGCCCCAATCAGTACAAGTGCGGTTTCAGTAGGTACCATTACAGCCCCCACCAGTGTACTAATTGACAGCTTTACCGGTACGGTTTCCAGCGGGTACTGTTACAGCCACATCCAGTATCGTGATTAGTAGCAGCACCAGCATGGTGTCAGCTGTTACTTTTACAACCACAGCCAGTATCCTGATTGCCAATTCAGTAGTGCCAGTACAGTGTCAGTAAGTACTGTTGAAGCCATAATCAGTGTCCTGATCACCAGCGAGCAGCAGTACCAGTGACATGCAGCTTTGTAAGTACAAGTACAAGAAAAGTAAAGCCACCACCAAAAATGTCAAAACAAACCTACACTAGTGAGGAGGCCTTTCAAATTCTTAGTGTAAGTGATGAGAGTGATGGAGAAACCTCACAGTCAGATTCAGGATCAGAGTATGAACCTGTGGAAAGTAGTGGTTCATTATCCACCTCTGATTCTGATTCTGAAGTTGTCCCATCTAAAAGAGCCAGGCGTGCTGTGCCAGTCATCACACATCCAACTGAAATGCAGCAGGCAAGCACTAGCACTGCAGTGCATCCTCATCAAATTGCAAGCAGCAGTAGTGCAGTAATCCATCATCAGCCACCCAGAGTTAGGCCCCAGAGAGCACGTACTAGTGTGCCAGAGGGACTTGCAAATCCATTGTGGCTACCCTCTACTTCTTCAACGCCTGTCCTCCCCCCATTTACTGCCCATCCAGGAGTTCAGGTTGAGACTGAGAATCTTACAGCTACCCAATTTTTTTATTTGTTTTTTACTGAAGAACTTTTCAGTTTAATTGTGGACCAAACAAATCTGTACTACCAACAATTTACTGCAACCAATCCCAATTCCAGCTATGCCAGACCATTTGAGTGGAGACCTCTCACTGTTCCTGAATTCAAAACTTTTCTCGGTCTAACGCTGAACATGGGACTCACCAAAAAAATCCACCACATGCCCCTGTACTCTGTACTACCATGTCCAGGACCAGATATACAATGATTATGCGGTTTCTCCATTTCTGTGATAATTCAACTTGCCCTCCCAGAAGTGACCCCAGATATGACAAGCTCCACAAAATTAGGCCACTTATCAATTTTTTCACCACAAAATTTTCACAAATATATACCCCCCAGCAAAATATCTGCATAGATGAATCCCTTGTACATTTTACAGGCAGGCTTGCCATAAAACAGTATCTCCCCAGTAAACGTGCCAGGTATGGCGTTACGTTTTACAAACTTTGTGAAAGAAGAACTGGCTACACATACAATTTTCGTGTTTATGAAGGTAGAGATAGCCAGCTGGAGCCCCCTGGATGCCCATCTTACATTGGAAGCAGTGGAAAAATTGTGTGGGACCTACTATCACCCTTACTTCATCAGGGATAGCATCGCTATGTGGACAATTTTTATGCAGGTGTGCCACTGTTCAAGCATCTCTTCCTCCAAAAAACCCCAGCCTGTGGTACAATGCGACCAAATCGCATTGGCTTTCCCCAAAATTTAGTCCACAAGAAACTGAAAAGGGGGAAGCAGGCCAGTATGAGGAATGACGAACGTGGAGGAGTAGCAGAATTTGTTTTGGGGTGTAATTCTAAGGATTTATATGCTGTGCGTTAGCTATATCGTGTTAATTCACATCTTTGTGTAGACATTTTGTTTTTCCTTTCTTCATTTTCTAAAAACTTGTGGCAGGAAAATGAAGTTGTCAAAAAACTCACTATTCCTCTTATTAAATACCTTGGGGGACTTTGGGATCATTTTGTGGGTGTTTCTACTGCGCTGGCACGTTAGGGCCTCAAAAAACACAATAGGTAGTCAGGGACCCAAATGCGTAATTTAAAATTAAAAAAAAAATGAAACCTAGAATCACTCAACATGCACATTATCAAATACCTTGGGGTATCTTCTTTCTATAATGGGGTCATTTTGTGGGGCTTTCTACTGTCCTTGCATTTTGGGGCCTCAAGAAATGCGATAAGCAGTCAGGGCACCAGGGTTGATACAATTCAAATATATATACCATAGTCTGTGGACTATATCACTTTCACACATTGTAACTAATTTACACTTTTTTTTACCAAAGAAATGTAGCAGAATACATTTTGGTCTAAATTTATGAAGAAAGATTATTTATGTGCTAATTTTCAAAGCTTAACATAGGGAAAACAGGTTTTTTTCTAAATTTTCGGTACTTTTTCCTTAATATAGTAAAAAATTAAAACCCCAGTGGTGATTAAATACCACCAAAAGAAAGCTCTATCTGTCCCAAAAAAAGGATATAAAATTAATTTTGGTACAGCATTGTATGGCTGAATAATTGTCAGTCAAAGTACTGCAGCGCTGAATACTGAAAAATGGCCTGGATGGGAAGGGGGTTTAACACCGCGGAAGTCAAGTGGTTAACATGAAGATTAAATATGCATCATGTTTAATAAAATACTTCAATTATTTTCATATGTTTAGGAAACAAATATCTGTGGAATACAAGCATTATGTTAAAAAGATAATTTATGTGTGTCCAAATGTTGACTTTTTCTCATGTTCTAAGGCAGGGGTAGGCAAACCTTGGCCCTCCAGCTGTGGTCAAACTACAAATTCCATCATACCATTGTCCCTGGGAAACATGCCTGTGGCTGTCAGAATTTTGCAATGCCTCTTGGGATTTGTTGTTTCACAACAGCTCGAAGTATGGCAACCCATTTTCTAAGGGAACTGCTTAAAGGGAGTACTAAATATTTATTTATAATTTAAAATAAAAATCTACTTTCTAATTATCACCTTTTTTTTAAATTTAACATACAGTGCATGTCTCTAGATACGTTTAAAATGAATAATCCAGTCTTTATTGTAAATGGCCTATGCCCACTGTAGACAAACTGCTATGACCTTATAATTTGTAATTTTTACTGGTCAGAATATATAGGAATGCTACTATATAACAATATGTGGCCAAACATTCTGAAAGAACCATTAAAGCTGGTTAGCTCTCAAATCCTCAATCCTCTCGGTTGCTATGCCTTAATCCATGAATGAACTAAACAAAATTGAAAATACCTAATTTTCATTGAATAAAATAGTCACATAATCTGTCAAACAGGCAACTTTAGATTTGATATCCCCAACTGTGGGGTGTGTTGCTATATGTGGGATAGAAAAAATGAGTGGTTCCGCTGGAAAAGTGTTCGCGGTATTAACTGGTACACAATTTGTACTATATGGATTAATCTGCCCATATGGTAAACTGTATGTGGGCAGAATTACAACAACCCTGATGAGGAGCACAAGGATCATGATAACTAAAGTGGAAAATTACTCTGTGCCTAGGCATTTTTTGGAATATTATAACACCAACCCCAAAAGTATAAAAGTATTTGGGATTGAGGCCATTTTAGGTGTTAGATCTCAGGTATTAGGTACTAAGTTCAGATATTTGGAAGTATCTAAATTTCCGATTTGGACGCGTCCAAATTCGAACAAATGTACACCTCTGTAGTGTGTTCCCTCCCAGCATGATCTATTGGTGGAATCTAGACACCTTTGTAGTGTGTACACACCCAGCAGGTGTGTTGTGCAAAGCCATGCATGAATTGCAAGGTGATGTTGTGTAAATTAGCTCTACATTGTGTTGCTTGCGTTGATGAATGCAGGAATGTAAATGCATGAGCTAACCATTTTTGTCTAAACTGTGAAGCAGCATTATATATGCATCATGTGCATGATTTTTCCATATATGGCATTAGTGGAAATATGCTTTTAGAGACTTTTTGGTTGATAAATACGTTTTGCTGTGTAAAAATCACACGCACCTAGTGCGTGCGTGTGTTTAGGTTAGTAAATCAACCCCCTGGAGTGACTTTTGTGTCACCATATGAATGTAACTCTGTTTAAAAAATGTGTCAATAGAGTCCTTTACAAACATTTTTTTCCATATTCATAGCCCCATGAAAATGAGCAACACTTGTAAATGTGACAATAGATTGATTATAAAATGTTTTTGGACTAGGTGAAGTAAAGCTTTTAAATTAACTCTCTATGCATAGAACAAGGTAGTTACCTTAGGCGTCTCAATACTGGCAGGCCACCAAAATATATGTTCTCGTCGGATTTCAAATTCAGACCAAAATTACTTCCAGTAGATGTGGTGGTTACCTTGTCCTCTTCGTTGGTATCCAGATCCACAATTGAAAAATTGGCTAAAAATTAAGATATGAATAGAGGGTACATTAAATAAAATGGACATGCCAACCAAATAACATGTCAGTTTCTGGCAGAGATGCAGAATCATTCTATTCATCATTATTATACACTAGCTACTACTGAATTAATACATTTTTAAAAGATGGTCATAATTTTACGGCACTGACTTAGATTTAGGAATATTTTACCTATGACCGTCTGGAAATACAATTTATATTTATGCCAGTATATGTTGTATCAGAGAAAGAGTGACAACCTACTGGAATGTATTTTTGTTAAAGTTGATCAACCATAAAAATGCTAGTTGCTCAAACCTGAGTAGGCTAAAATAATCCAGTAGTCATGTTCAAATGGGTAAAACATTGCGCAACAGCGCATCACTCAGATGAAAATGGTCACAATAGAATATGGAATGTTGAAGTGCTTCTGTAAACATACTTCAAATTGCTTAAGCGTGAATATGGGCTGAACCAGAACTGAGGCAGACAGATGCATGGGGGAGCTTTTTTCATAATGTGCAAGAATGCATAGCACCAGGGGCTTTAAATCTGACCTCCTTTCTTTCCAGAGGCTTGAAATTTTCTCTGACTATAAAATTCATTCACAACCAGCCTGATCAGTGAACTACTACATTTACTCAGTTATCATAGGGAAGGCATATTGATGTGCTCAATGTCTACTGAGACAAGAAACACAAACAATGGAATAGGGGCTCAGCTGCTCACGATTCCTCTGGAAGGAATCTTTGATAGTGACAATGGTAGGCCATGCCTGCACAATATGTATTGGCATGGCCACCTGTAGTCTCCACCAGGGGCACATGTGACAGGATCTTGGCCTTGTGTGCTAAAGGTCCTGGTCCCAGCGCAGGATTTTAGTAATTTTGTTCACATCTAGTTTAAAGTAGTACTAAACTCTCTATGTAAAAAATATCTCTCAATATAACATAATTTAGTATGTTTAAATATTGCCTTTGTATTAATCTAGTCTATTTTGAATTTTTCATTACCTTCATAAAATCTTTACTTCTCTTTCCATTTCGTCTTGCACTTCCTCCAACTTCTGGTTGGAGGGAGCACACACAGTTACTTACAGATGACTTGCCTGTAGGACTCCATGCCCCATGAGTACTTTGAATTGCCTCTCCTAATGTGCCCCTTGTTTTCAGATCTGTCAGTTACAGACATGTGGATGGGGAGGTGGGTGGATCTCTAGTTCCCTACAACTCTCTCCTCTCTATTCTGCCTGTGTGAGTCAGCATACAAAGCAGCTGCACATTGTGAGTATTCCCAGCGAGGGGTGCACATGCTGCAGTGGCTCCATAGAGAACCAACCAATAAATGGAGACACCACAGAAACAGAGGTAAGCATTAGGAAAACCCAAAAAGGTTTATATACATAAAAAGAAGACAGTGGGAGAAATAAATAAAGATACAAGACAGTTTGTGAGTAACGTAAGTAAGGATATGCAGTTTATTGAAATAAGTTTAATAACACTTTAAGCTTTTGCATGTAACAGCAATACCACTGTTTTTAATTGTGTGTGTGTGTTTAATGCAAAAGCACATTTCCTACCTTGTTTTTGTATTCTGGAGAGAGTGAATGATTTCCATTTGCCATCATTATGATTTTTGTTGCTCATTGCATAGGATGTGCCCGATCCCAGATCATAGCTAACTTTTATACGCCCATCACTCAGCTCGATGCTCATGAAATCTTTCTGTTAAAAATTGAAAATGAAAGCTATATCACACATATACAGTATAATTCATATATCCTGAACATAACAAATTCGGCTTTGGATTAAAAGTAAACATACAATTCAAAATATTAATAGAAATAGTCTGGAACTGCATACAAATATAAATTGTAAAGAAACAGTGTTTCAACATTAAAACAGTTACAGTAAAACATGGAATACACTGATTTTATGAAGCCAACACAAATCTTTTTACTGAAATATAAACAAATAAATTGTAAGGGAAAAACTACAATAACAAAACAAGTTTATATATTTTGAGCTGCGCACTCTGTTAACAGTCGATGAGCTGAATTTGTTTTTTTTCTGCAATCTCCCCTTCAGCTGAGGGTTATATTGTGGTTCAGTAGTGCTCATCACACATGATTGTAAATCTCTTCAGTATCTGTACCATCTGCTCAGAAAAGAGGGCACTTCAGGATGATATCTTAAAGGCCGGCTGTATATGAACATCTCCTTCACTAAGAATGATAGCCAATCCTATTTATTTCACTGTTCTTCTAGGACATTTTAGATGCAGCATGGCTAAGATTCAGATGAGCCACTTATTGAAGAGATATCTTTCTCGAATATGGAAACCTCAAATACCTGAATCATAATGCACATGTGCTTATTTACATTTGAGAATTAACAGTTTCCTGGGGCTGATTGTTGCAAGTGTGCAAGACCTTTGACCCTGCTTTTGCTGCCACGGCAAGTAAAAAAGTTTATTAACATGGGCATTATGATTACTTTAAAAGAACCTTGGGCTAATTTAGTTAAAGAGTTGAGAATGTTCACACAATATATTGTGTGAATATTCCTTTCAATTCAAATTGAAATGAATTTTTACACAATTTAGTGTGTGAGCATGCTCAGCTCCTTTAGTAACTCAGGGAGGAGTGACAACTCTCCTGCTCAGCTCCTTTAGTAACTTGAGTGACAACTCTGAATCTGCTGGAGTTACAGACATCACATGCAAGATGTGAAAAGCAGTCCCTGGGCTTTTGGATGTCTACAGAGTGGAAGCTCTTACAGGTAAACAACATGCATAAAATATATAAAATACACATTTAATGTTATAGGAAGATTTCTGTTGAAATGAATGGTCTGACAACAAGCCCACTGTGCGGGCCAAACTAGTCAACATTTGTTGACTTTTTTCAGTTGAGGAGAATGCTGGCTGGGCTGTGACTCTAGAAACTCATTGACAGGAATTGATCACAACTGGAGCAGTCAAAATCTGCAGCAGCTGTGCATGGCAGCCAAACAGGTTTTCTCTTTCATTTTCAAATCTTAACTAAACAAGCTGAAGAGAGAAGCTGATTGGTTGCCATGGGCAACTGCTCCAGTTTTGTCTGCTCCACTTTTGATAAATTCCCCCAATGAGTTTGAATATGTTTTTCTTCAATTATGTTAAATGTTTCCTTACTAACAACAACATATCAAAATGTCCCTCCCTACCATCTTGTCTTGAATTATATTGTGATTGTAATGTTTTCCTTAAATTGTAAAGCACTGCGCAAACTGTTGGCGCTATACAAATCCTGAATAATATTATTAATAATAATAATGTCCATATACGACTGCAACAGTTCAGCAGCACTAACAATATTGCTACCAAATAGTCAATAGAAAAATGCTGGCTATTAAAAACAATGTATATCACCAAATAATATCAAGAAAAGCAGAAATGAAATCACTGTTTATAAAGGTGATCACTAACTACAACACATAAAAACCTCCATAAATGACTGCAGTAGTTCATCTGCACTTCACAAATTGTATCAATACCAAAGAGTCATTGGAAACATGCTGGTTATCTAATATATCACGTCATTATTT